TCCAGGATATGTCAAGTAGGTATTGTTAGTTTAAGCATAAAAGTCGTGTTGGTATAGGGTTTTTTATTGGAGATACTTCCTTTTTCCCTATAGATGTGAATAGAAACCACACGTCGTGTACATAATTTTAAGGGAAGCGATATTTTGCATGCCCATCAATTAGTTGACATTTATTATTTCAAGGAAAGGGTATTAGGTTAGGCTAGGAAACTCGAGAGTTTATCTTTTGAATAGGGCAATTTATGTAGCATAATAAACACGTCAAAAGTAAGGGCTCTCGAGAAACATATATAGTTTATTTTTATTTTGTGAATATCTGCAGAGGGTACTTAAGAATTTCGAAGAAGTCCCCACATGTTGCGAAAACATAAATTATTTGTATGTCAAGTATCTGAAGCTGGTCAAAAGAGAAGGAAGGAATAGTATACACCCCTAGAGAGAAAAATCTATCACGATTGGTTGATACCATCCAACCAAGTCAAGTTTCCACCCATAACGGGAATGAACAGACGAAATTAGAGTCAGATAGGGATTTTAGAAAAATCTTAAAGTTAGTTCAATTTTGAATTTCATCCTGCTTGCCTAGTGTTCTGGTGCGTGAATTCTGTGTCTGGTAAATCTCTCAAAGATTGTATTTTTTCTGAAATTGATAAAGTTCCCTTCTGGTATTCATTAGAATCTTGTAAATTCCATTGAACTAGGTTAGTACCTTCCGTACTGCTTAGAATATTTAAATTTTAAAGTGAAATACATTTTTAAACCATTAACTTCCTTTTGACTGGTTAAGATAATATTAATTTGATAGATTTCAACTCACTCAGGATAGCTGTAATCATCATAATTATCTCTTGTTCATTTATTTGCTTTGTTATATAGGAGCCATTTCCTTATCGAGTCATATTTTCTTTACTTGTCTTTTCATTATTTGTTTATATGATAATCATTAAATAGATCGTTGAGGTTTTATTATTCTTTTATTGCTGAACTTACTCACTTCTCTTCCAGAAGTGAACAATAAAGTAAATTTAATAGAAGTTCTTCTGATATAAGTCAAAAGTTGATTATATAATATAATAAAGGCAAAGAGTTACCAGATAAGTGTTTATACGTGTGACGGTTCGAGGTAATCGATAGCCCGCAGAAGCGATAGCTGAGCCCAGAGAGCTGTCACCCCTTCTGAGAGTCGAAAGGTAAGTGGAATTTTATTGATAATGTTTACGAGCCAACTCAAGCGTATTCTTATTGGACCTTACTTGCCTAACCTGTCTCGTTCGGCAAAGAAAATCAGTAGATGAAGGAAATAAATATTATTAAGAAGGTGGACCTAAGACAGGTGTAATTTAATCAGTTTATTTCGAGGATAGAGTATCTTCATCAGAGTCCACCCTTCTTACAAATTGGCGCAGTCGGTAGGATTAAAAAAAATCAGAATTTTGGTAGGATTAAAAAAAAAAACATAAGAATTTTGGTAGATTATCAATCAGAATTTTGGTAGATTATCAATCAGAATTTTAGTAGGATTTTCAATCAGAATTTTAGTGGGATGAAAATAGAATTCAATCCGAATATAAATCAGAATTTTTGTTGGATCAAATTAAAATTCAATCAGGATCAAATTAGGACGTTTTTCATTAAATTGAATGAAACATTGATTGGATTACGTAATATGATTGAATTCAATTATTTCAAGAGTATCTGTCACATAATTTCTTGATTACACGCAGAATTGTGTTTTCAATTTCGAAATTTTGTCGTTAAAAATACAAATATGGGTGATAAAGATACGCAAGGCTGGTTTAAACATGGTCAACGCTAGAATGAATTCTCCTCAGCGAATAAGATTTAATTCAGTCTGTTTCACTCAAGGAAATGTAGATTGACCATTGATGTTAATAAGTAGTTTAACTAGGAAAACTGAGGAAAATTCACAAGCGATGAAATTGAAAATGAACTCCGATACCGTGTATCGTGAATAGAATAAATCCATTTACCCACTCCAATAAGTTTAGAATTATTAGTCATACAAGCTACCAATATATGTGAATTTTTAGTGGAAGTAAGGAAAATAGTAGATGGATGGATTTTGGATGTATTCTATTGTAGAAGCATTTGCTCTTTTGGAATTTGATAATGGTATCGTAGAACAAATCAAGAGCATGAAGGTATTTTCAAGATTTTTGTGTTTTCCCTCTTGTTGAAGTGTTCATATTCCAGTGTTCCCAATCAAGTCTATAATATAATGAATGAACAAGAAATTTAGGTCAGGTTCAATGAAGATATACATACATGTAAAAAAAAAGAGCAAGTGTTTTCTAGTAATGGTGAGCCGAGCGAAATTAATGGAATTCAGATTTGAACTAGATATTGAATTATGATATTATATATTTATTTGAGATGAAAAGTAAATCAAGTATTCATGAGAATAGTCGAAATTGATGAAGAATTGAAGAGTTATGATAATGAGAATAAGTAATCAAGACCTGTGAACAGATTAAACTCCAATTTAGAGTCATAATTATCTAAGGAATTTGACATATGACATATGACGGAATTTCGTCAAGTAATAAATTTGATAAAGAAATGAACTTTGAAGCAAAAACAGGGATAATGAATAGATAAATGAAAGAAAAAACACAAAAATATTTTGAATCTGATTTCCAAAAGGCTGTGGTATATTAAAACAAACTATAGGCAAATGAAGAAGATGGGGAAAATGTTTTGAAGAGAATCATTTTTTTTTGTGTGTGACAATTTGAAATTTCAAGAGTACCTACTTAAATGAAGTCAGTCAGAATTTTGAAATGAAAACTATATTCTTCATGTTTTCTTTGCCTAAGGTTGATCTCTTTCAGGAAACTCCAAAGGACGCCGAGTCAATAGAAAGTGCATCTTTCTATTTCGTCTGTCTAGAGGCTACAAGTGTAAGCCTATTGCTTCGTTTGTTGTGGTGAATCATTGTTGTGGTGTCATAAATCTCTTACAGGGCAATTTGATGTTCAATATTTATTATTCGATCATTCTGCTTTGATTGAATAAGGGTTTTCTTGCAGGTATATAAAATTCATTATTATTCAGACAGGTATAGAAAGGTTAGCAATAAGAATCAAGAAAAATATAGGTCATGAATAAAAAGGGTTCAGTTAAAAATAAAATTTCAGTTTCCTCGGGAATGTATAACACATGAATTTGTTGTGTGTAAAGATGAATTGAAATTCACTACAGATGGATTGATAGGTTTAAAATTTTGAATAAGTTTCAACCTATCATGGATTTCAGTCGGAGTATAATGAAGATAAAAAGGATTCGAAATTCCAATGCATGGTGAAAATGAAAGAATTTAAAAATATATCAGCCGTCCGAATTACAAGAATTTCCAGAAAAATCTTCATTGCTATGGAACAAGATGGGGTTCCAGAGAATCAAGGTAACACTATGATGTTCGGAGGTAACAATTTGAATCACCCCGAAAGAGAGGGTTATAAAGACGAGCAGAATAAGACTCGCAAGAAAATTGATTCTGATATCAATAGAGGGCAGAATAAGACCCATATGAAGAATTCAAATGAGGGTTTGTTGCATAGTAATGCCAGCCCGCACCTCTTTGACAGAGGGAGTCAATGTCACTACTCTGTCAACTTGTGTCCTCTGGAAGAGGTACCTGCCTCGTTGAAGATTCCTACGGCTGCCGCCAAGAGTTTGTATACTGATAATAAGGAGGTTTCCTACCACAGTTCTCTCAATAAACAGGAATCAGCAATAGTCACCCCTCCTTATGACCAAGGAAGCTTGAACCAAGTTGAAGCAACCGGGTGGGATAATAATTTTAAAAATCCTAGCCTAGTAAGGATGAGGAAAAAAATTGGTCATACCGGCTTTTCAAGGTTGCGACCTGCGTGTCCAAGTAGAAACGCGCGTCTACGAAGGCATAAAAGTTTGTCAACCACTACCCCTCACCCCTGGAATATGTGTCGCTCGATCTGTGGTTACTATACCACCTAACTCTCCCCATAAGAAAAAGGAAATTGTGGTACGGATTCTTAATACTTCTCCTGTCGCACAGACCATAGGGAAGAAGTGTCCGATTTTGAGGTTAACAGACGCTACAGCGGAGAAAGATGATTCGGAAACTTCGAGTATGGAAGTACGCCGGTTGTATAAAGGCATAAAGTAAGACCTACAAGAAAATTCTAAAACATTTACCAATTGCTGATAGAAAGAAAATGAAGGAGTTTTTGAGTACATATAAAGATATATTCGCCGAGGAAAATGAAGCATTAAGGGCAACAAAATTGATACGGCACGCCACTGATATAGGTAACAGCGCACCTGTTTATGAAGCATAGAAATACCACGGATCACCATATGATGGGAGGCTATACGCGAAGAAATAATCGACAAGTGGAAATTGGGACACCAAACCCGCAAATCAATAATACGCCGTCCCTGGAAACTACAGAAAACGAGTCAGAAAATGAAGAAAATCATGCCGAAGTAGAAGAAGAAGCAGAAGTTGAGGAAGAAGAAGAAAATAGTGATGAAACGACAAGTGAAACGGAAAATGAAACGGAAAATGAAAATATATCGAGTGAAAATGAAGAAAACTTGATAGAAAATCCTGAAATAGAAGAATTCCACTCCTTGTCATCTGAATCGGCTAATGAAGGAAGTAGACTCGAAAATAGTATAGGAAATGAAGGTGAAATGGAAACAGAAATAGAAAATTCTACAGCAGAAGTACCAGAAATGAGTAACGAGAACAATCAACGACAAACGAGAAGTCAAGGACCGGCACAAGATTATTCGTGGATAAGTAAAAATAGAATATAATAACAATTCCACACATGTATAATAGCTCATTGACAATTATATATTTTTTTTTCAGAGTAGATAGTAGAAAATTACAATTTGATATGTTTCAGAAAATGTTGCTAGTTTTGTGTCTAGTGTTCGTTAGGCTGTTGAGCCTTACACAAGGGGACATCATTGCGTATGATTGCCAGGACGAGTCAGTGGAGCTGACTAAACTGTCCTTGCTGAGAGTGAAGCCATGCCTCGACCCAAGGAATGCCACGGAGACTACGAGAAGGAAGATCCAGCTCATCCAGAAGCGACAATACGTGGGAGTCCAGGTCTACACTTGCCTCGTCGTGGTGCAGCAGTTCATCCAGTACTGCGGAATGCACTCCCATACCAGCAGCGTCGCAGGAGGCCTAGGAAAGTACGTCCACTACGTCTCTGCCGAGACGTGTCTCAAGGCTCATCAGTTCCGGCACTTGGATCTTCGAGGAATAGGCGGCGGCATCATCAGCAAGATCAGCCTCAACGGGACCACGGAAGTATCAACAACCCTCCAAGGACACCTCGACATAAGCGGAAATTGCGAAGGTATCAAATTCACCGTCGGAGATATCTCGTACGAAAACGTCGTCGTGTCGGCCGCGATAACAATCAAGATGTCCGATTATTTCACTACCGCGGATGTCGAACGTAATGTCGTGAATCTTCGTTCGGGAACCATATGTCCTTATAATGATGGATCCTGTTTTGATGACTTCTCCGAAGAGGCGATATGGAACGCGAAAATCGCTGATCAGTGCACAAACAGTGGAGTCGATGTGCTTTATGAAGGAAATGCAACATTGCTCACACTTAGCAAGGATCCACCAACATTTTACGTAATCGTGGATACCGAAGATACCGTTTTCGCTCTGAAATTAATCAAGTCAGAGGATCTATGTCATCAACGAGCTTGGCAGACCGAACAAAATCGGTTGTTAGTTATTTTGGAAGATTCGTTAGGATTTTTCTACCGAAAATCACTCAGACTACCTCAAAATACAGATATGATGATGCATGTACTCAGCAAATTGCTTTATTTGGAAATTGCTGTCAAAAGACAAATGGCTGATGTTGTCTACGATGCCATCATGAAAAGGTGTCAATTAAGAGAGAAGATTCTACAAAACCGGATCACTATGGCCTTACAATCACCTGATCTCGTGAGTAACCTTGTGAAAGAAACTACAGGTTATATTGGACGAGTCATGGGCGAAGTACTCTATATCGTGAAATGTAAGCCAATAATTGTCGAGTACAGGAGAGCCACGGCTTGTTACCATGAATTACCTGTAAAGTACCAGAACAGGTCTCTATTCCGATTACCGATGACCCACATCCTGACAGAACATGGTACTGAAATAGATTGTCAGCCACTGTTGCCTCCTAGTTTCAGAATCGAGGGTAAATGGGTAGAATTGACACCTGCATTGAGAAAAGCCGATCCAGCTATCGAACTGGATGCTAACACCGAGGACGAAATCGTGAAGTTGGCCAGGATATCACCTATCACGTCGGATGGTATCTATACCCGGGAAGATATGGAAAAGTTTCAACGCACGCTCATGTTCCCGAACGAAAGAAAAGCCGTCACGAACGAAGTCGCGCGTCGCGTAACAGGAAGAGGTATAGGTACGGACAATTATGATATGCCTAAACTCTTCAGTGAATCGGAATTTAAGAACTTTGCAAAATCTGCCGCGGAAGAAGTGTGTGGTTTCCTATCGAGAATGGGGTACATTTTCTCGATATGCGGTTTTCTGTATACCACATTCTGTGTCGTGAGCTATATTACGGGTGTGATAACGAACTATTTCACCATTAAGAAAGTAGCCGAGGACCATCCGCGTAGGAAACGATATTTGTGGGCTAGCTTTTTCCAAGCTTTAGCCCACCGGTATATTTATAGCCTCCAGCGTAATAGTGATCCGGTAGAGCACAACGCCCTAAATAATATCGAACTTCAGGAAGTTCGAATAAATGACACTGATGCATCTCGGCATTCCGCGAGTGAAACGCGGATCACCCCGAGCGCACCTGTCGCTAAGGTCACCTATCCGGGTACATATATTTCGTCAGATCGTATTGTATCAAAACCGTATTTCATCAAATCGAATTCTATCAAAATGGCATTCTGTAGAAACTGTACTTCATAGAACCAATAATTCATCAAAATATAAAGGATCATAATGTATCTCATCATACAGTTAAACAAAGAAATGTACTTCATAGAGAAGTAAAACATCATACCTTATTTTTTAGAATTGGTAATCCATCATAACCGTATTACATCGAAACAGTAAATCATCAAAATCGTATTATAACGAGACAATATCGTATAGAGCCTGTTGAGCATCGAAACGGCAATTCTTCAGATCCGTATTTCATCAAAACATCAATCTATCAGAGTGAACACTTATCGAATTCGTAATTAAGCGAAACCGTAATTTGTAGAAACCGTAATTCGCCAGAACCGTATTTCATCAAATCAATAATCCATCATAACCGTATTTCGTAGAATCGGTAATTCATTAGATTCGTATTTCATAGAAACAGTAATTCATAAAACCCATATTTTATCAAAACGGCAATTCATCATATCCGTATTTCATAGAATCAGTAATTTGTCAGCCCCGTATTCTATAGAAACGGTAATTCATCAGATCCGTATTTCATAGAATCAGTAATTCATCGAACCCGTATTTTATAGAAACGATAATTCATCAAACCCGTATTACATAGAATCTGTTATTTGTCAAACCCGTATTTTATAGAAACGGTAATTCAACAAATCCGTATTCCATAGAATCAGTAATTTATCAAACCCGTATTTCATCAACATCAATTCTCCATATTGAATAACTGGTAATTCAGCAGATCTGTATTTCATAGAAACCGTAACTCGTCGACACCGTATTTTATCGGACGGTAAATCATCGGATCAGGTTGAAATCGAAATGTTACAGGAAACTGCATTGCAGTGACTCGCCAAAGTAAATTTAGATAGTTGAGTAGGACACGCACAGATGTCGCAGCTCGATGGTGAAGTATAGTAAAATACTGTCGAGAATTATTGATTTTACAGGAACAGCAAGAGATTCATTCGTTCATAACTTTAATTCAAATACTCGATGGTAGGGTAGGTACCTAAACGAACAATCAAATCTTGCCGATATTTCGTGAAGTTGATGTACACAGCAATTTCCAAACATTCGAGAATAATTGAATGTTGCAATTATGTTATGTTATAGAACTGACATGGGTATTTCGACATCGTTTTCGAAATAGGTATATTATTTCATTATCATTCATTATTATGATTGAACGAACCACTACTTTTCACTGTAGTGATTTATGATCGATAGGTACATCCATAATTACTTGGGAAGGAATCAGGCCAGGCTTGAATAGGTACCTATACCCAGGTGTTATATTTTGAACATTTTATTTTTACCAGGTGCACATCAATGGGAGCTAGAAGGGGTGATTACCCCCCTCAGAAAGCAGGAAGGGTAAATCCAAGATCGCGGATCCCATATGGCGGACGAATTTTGTAATTATGATTCAAATCTATTCAAAATTTTTATCTGCGGGTTCTCGGGATCAGAAATTCTTATTCTTTCATCGAAATTTGAAAATTCAAGAAGGCGGATCCAATATGGCAAACGAGTTTTCTAATTATTATGATCCGCTTTTATTCAAAATTGGTATCTGGATTGAAAGGGTTTTTGAGGTAGGAGATTATGATTCTTTCGTCGAAATTGGTAAACTCGAAATGGCGGATCCAATATGGCGAACGAGTTTTCTAATTATTATGATCCGCTTCTATTCAAAATTGGTATCTGGATTGAAAGGGTTTTTGAGGTCGGAGATTATGATTCTTTCGTCTAAATTGGTGAATTCAAGATGGCGGATCCAATATAGCGGATGATTTATTTCATTTGGACTCGAATCTATTGAAAATTTGTGAATGGGATTTTTCGGGATCGGAGATTATGATTCTTTCGTCAAATTTGAGAATTTAAGATGACGGATCCAATATGGCAGACAAGTTTTTTAATAACGATCCGATTCTACTCAAAATTCGTATTCGGGGGCTTTCGAGGTTTGAGAATGTGATTCTGTTTTGTTAAAATTGGAAAATTAGTGATGGCGGATTCAATATATAGTGGAGCAGTTTTGGAATTATATATATAATTCTATTCAAAATTGGTATCAATTTTTTTTTGGGTCGGAGATTATGATGCTTTTATCAAAATCGGAAAATTCAATGAAGCGCATATAATATAATATATATATGGCAGACCGGATATGTTGTATCTGGAGGTTGTTGGGGTAGGAGATCAAACTAGAAAGCACGCTTTTGTAGTAAGCCGCCGAAATAAAAAATAGAAACCCTTTTATAGATAGTCAAACTAAAAAGAGGTAGAAAATGAAATAATGCAAGTGTGTTCATAAATACACAACATGAAATATACTGATTACGGAGATGCTAATATTTTCTTTGTTATGTATTTATCAGCACACTTTTATTATTTTAATTTCTACCTCTTCTTAGTTTGACTGTCTATAAAAGGGTATTTCTTTAGTTTTCGCAACTACTATTTATAAACTACTCAACACTAATTTCGTCGCACACCAAAATGTCGCCCCTTTTATAATGTGAATAACTTTTTTCAGTTTAGAACAATTTGAATTTGGTTCACACTGTTCGATAGTCCAGTCCTTCAGCTAAAATCTCGTACTTCATTGAAACATAAGGGTATTCACATAAAATCTCTACATGGTGTTTTCCGACACTGTGCAAAATTTCGGAATATTCAAAAGGCTCTCAAATGGTGAAAACATTTTTTTCCTCAACTTCGACAACAGAGGCATGAATATGATCTCATTACCTCGAGATATTTCGCGAATTAACTTCCTATCTCTCTTATTTACAGAGTGATCTCAAAAAATCAAATTTTTGGGTTTGCAGCCATAACTTTTTTTCACTACAACCGATTCTAGAAATCTTAGGCTCATTTTGAAGATAAAACTTCAGATGAAGAGATCTGAATATCATAATTGACTCAAGATGGCTATCAAAGATCTAGAGTTTTCTTGAAAGTGACCCAAATCTGGAACGCCCTCCGAATCTCGGTTGGGAGGAGAATTGAATGAAAATCAACGTGTTCTCGGAAGAACAATTCATTCTGGATGCGTCCATATTTTCCTCGCTCTCAGTAGTCAAGAATGTGCGTGAGAAAACACAATTGAAACATGTTCTTGCAGAAACATCAGACCATTTCTCCTCTGTAATGCATGGCCCGTAACCTACGTTACAAGAATCAGAGTAAGTGACTGACAAGTCAGGTTAGAGGTCGTTTTCGAATCATAAACAGATTTCGATAGTTTCGATGCCGCATCTAACGCGAATGTGGGTGACAACTTTGTTCTCGTTGATGACAATGCGAGACCGCATTGGGTTGTTGGTACACCATTTATGATGAGCCTTAGCTAGTCGGGTTTGTCAGTCCATTGTCGATCTAAATGGAAACCTAGTTAGGTAGTTAGTAGGCGAGAGCATAATATTGTCTGTTCTTTGAAAAAATAAATGAAGGCGTTCAGTAGTACAGAGACATCAATGTGAACCAAGTAAACTAAGTTATTCATTTTTTATTCCTAACCGTAACATTTTTCATGGTCCTGTCAAGTTTGTAAATAAAAATCTGTCATGTGGAATCCCGAAAATGAAACATTATCACGAAGGATATTATCAAGTATGAAAACCATCTACCTATACTTGAATGGAAGCAGGAAGATGTTTAGGCAATGCTGTGTTAGTATGATTCATGATGCAACTTGAAATTGAGTTGGAACTGTGGAAACTTCGGAAACTCAATAGTGCTATTACACTTTTTCGACATGCAAGCCAAGCATAAAGGTAGGGGCTGCTTATTTCCTTCTGTATTTTTGACAAGTTACTATATAATTCATGAAATTCCATTATTTGCAGTGAACACATGTCTTTAGTGATGTAAATCGGAATCACTATATACTTGAAAATTTCAGGTAGGTACCTACCTACAGCGAAGAGTACTTACATTAATAGCTTTTCAGGGTAAAAGTGCACTTATCATGCGATGGGGTTTTTTTCGAAATTTTTTTTTGGTACTTACGTATTTTCGTCTGAAAAACACGAATTTCATAATGAAAATGTGAACAAACCACTATTTATCGAGATATTTCAAGAAAAAGTTCGAAATTTTGCCTTCTTTTCCCCCTTGTGTTGGATGCATTTTCAGCTACTTGCTCTTATTATTTTGTCATTGGACACTTTATATACCTACTCATGATGTACTTCACTGACACATTTTAAGATAAAAAATTCAACAGGAAATATGATTTTTATGGCGAGTTTTTCCTATTTAGTGAGCAAGCATACCAGATGACGGCCATTTAATCCATATGCAATCCAAATACGAGATGTCAAATGTCAATAGATTGCTTTGGAATGACATTACACACGCCATTATTTCAAATGATATTCTTCCTTCTTTTCACTAAACATGGATAAATCACAAGAAAATCATATTTCTAGTTGACTCATATAATAAAAAAAATGTGTCCAACATTGTGTGATATATATAAATTGTCCAATGATGGAAAAAGAAGGGCAAATTGTTCTAAATGTGATCCAGAAGAAGGCGGAAAAGATGGTGAAATTTGTAACTTTATAGTGAAATATCTCGATAAATAGTGGTTTGTTCACATTTTCATTATGAAATTCGTGTTTTTCAGACGAAAATACGTAAGTACCATAAAAAATTTTCGAAAAAAACCCCATCGCATGATAAGTGCACTTTTACCCTTTTCAGTTGAAAAACGAAAAACTATGAGTGATGTGGAAGTATCACATTAGAAATCATTATGTGAGTAATGTTCAGAAGGAATGTACCAGAAGGATAATATGATGATTGATGTTTGAGAACAGAATGGAAAATTTACCATCTGAAATAAATATATAGAAGCACTAAGGTTAGACTCAATCTGGTTATTTCATCAATGTCTTATGGATATTCTGCTCCAAACACAAAATATCATTATATTTTTTATAGATAGGTACCTCCTTGAAAGTCGAGCTGCAAAAATATCCAGTTCACAAGATTTTATGAAAATACACACAAGAAAATGGGGCAGTGAATAAAATCAGAAACTTTTCATCCTGTAGTTCGATGAGCTGAATCCAGATAAGCAGTAAGAACAACAATTTGTTTGCTGGAAATTGCCAGTCCCCAGCAT